AAATGAATAAATAAAAATAAAAATAAATAGGTGTTGACAAAATATACCTTTCATGATCTGGTCACCTCTAATGCAAATTTCACCAGGCTGATTACGCCCAAGAGAAGCACCAGTTTCGGTATCCACAATTTTCATCTCAGCATTTCTAACCACAGTCCCGCAAGCACCCGATTTTATCTCAAATGGCTCTTTTGCAAATGCTAAGCACATTGCCAGCACAGGCCCGGCTTCAGTCATTCCGTACCCCTACATAAAAATAAAAAAAAATAAAAAAAAAATAGAAAAAAAAAATTAAATAGAAAAATAAAATAAAATTTAGAGGCATAATAAGTGTTGCAATATATTCAATGATAAGTCAACAAATTCTGTCAATTAATGCAGTGATATAAATAGTTATGTGATGGAGATTCAACTATGACATATTAAAACGTGTTAGTCAAATAAATATATGCATAACATGTGTTAATATATCAATTCGTGGATGATATAAATGTACACCTAAATAAAACTGTAATAAATAATTATTTCGAAATTTTGATAGGTCATAACTTATGTACTTAGGTCACGAAAGACAAATTAAATACTTTAGAGAATATGAGAACATGTTCGGACGTGGTTTGTTTAGTGATTTTGATAGATAATATAAATTATAAAGTCAACTTTTATAATTGGATTTGTAGCTTGATTCCCGGAATCTAACTACGCTTGTTTACACTTGTTGATCTACATTATATATAAGTTACTCTCGCATGAATTTACATAGACCAATGAAGTATATTACTGTATTATATATTAACTAGGTCATAAGTTATGTGCTTAGGTCATGAAAATATAAATTAAATACTTTAGACAATAATAAAGAGAACATGTTCGGACGTGGGTTGTCTTAGTGATTCATAAAAAAAAAAAACTTTTATAATTGGAATCGTGGAATGATTCCCCAAATTTATCTATGCTTGTTTACACTTGGCCTCCACCAGATATATNTTCTATTTATATATATATATATATATATATATATATATATATGTCAATCTCTTCCACCAATTTACTACACAAACAAATAATATTATTGCGTATTTTAAATTAATTTACATCAATATTTATATTAAACCAGTATCTATAATTATATTTATATAAAAATATTATCAAGTATTAAATTTTACAATTGATCAGAATATTATATTTTATAAAAATAAATATATATACAAATGTAATTACTTAAAACAAAAATAATTACATAAAATTGCTATTAAATAATTTAAAAAATAGTCATACGATTCTACGGATAACCAAACTATTATGTAGGGATATATAAATTTAAAACACAAGTTTTATAAGCCCAATTGAGTAATTTTCCACCTTTGAAAATCAACATTTCTTACCGGTTCTTACCCACACTAAATAAATTGCCAAATAAAAAACACGAAAATTCAAAATCAAATCATCCGCAGAAGGAAATGAAATAAATTCAAAAGAATCCTAGTAATTAATTAAATTACCTGACCAAGTTTGGCATTAGGGAACTTCAACCTGACGGCGTCCTCCAGCTCCCTCCCAAGCGGCGCCGCCCCAGACATGACTGTCCTCACAGACGACAAATCGTACTTCTCCACTACAGGGCTCTTCTCAATTGCCAGCACAATAGGCGGCACAAACGGGCCAATCGTGACCCGGTACCTCTGTATCAGCTCCAGAAAAGGCACAATCTCGAACTTCTGCATTATCAGAATGGCCGCCCCGACCCGCAACCCGCACAGCATAATCGAGTTCAACGAGTAGATGTGGAAAAGTGGGAGCACGCACATGATGACGTCATCGCTGTGTATGTACAGGTTCGGGTTCTCCCCGTCCACCTGCTGCGCCACGCTCGTCACCAGCCCCTTGTGCGTCAGCATCACCCCCTTCGGCAGCCCCGTCGTCCCGGACGAGTACGGCAGCGCCACCACGTCGTCCGGCGAGATCTTCACCGCCGGCAGCTCCGCTTCATCCCCCGACGCCACCTCCGAGAACGGCAGACACTCCTCCGGCGGCGCGCCGTCTACGCACACCACCTTCACCCCGTGCTCCGCCGCGTAGTCGCGCACCTTGTCCACGTGGCAGGCCTGGGTGACGATGAGCTTCGCCCGGGAGGCGGCGGCCTGCTTTACGACCTCGGCCGGGGTGAAGAAGGGGTTGGCCATGGTGGAGACGGCGCCGATGTGGGAGGCTCCGAGGAAGGCAAGGACGAACTCCGGGGAGTTGGGGAGGAGGAGCATGATGGTGTCCCCCTGCCGGATTCCGAGCCTGTGGAGACCCGACCCGACCCGACGGGAAGCCAGCTCGACCTGGTCGTAGGTGAGGATCTCGCCGGTGGAGCCGTTGATGAGGCAGGGTCGGGACCCGAACCGGGAGATGTTCTCGAAGCAGTAGGTGTGGAGTGGGAGGTGCTTCGGAATGTAGATGTCCGGGAGCTTCGATCGGAAGATAATGTCCTTTGATTTTGTCGTAGGCTCCATTTTCGAGATTTTGCTGTTTTTTTTTTCTTATTTTTTTTATCGGGTCGGTGTTTTAGGATTTTTGGGTCCTGGAAATGAAGGGCACGGGTTTGGAGTATAAATATGGGGAAAAAAATAGTTGGTGAGGGTTGGTGAGTGGGGGAAGGGGAAAGGGAGTTGATGGGGATTATGAGTTGNGTGGGAGATTTTCCACGTAGGATTTACCTACCGAAAAGATTGAGGGTGCAACCGGCACGACGATGTTTGGAGATGTGTCTCACCTACTACAGTTTACGTAGTGGGAAGAAAAAGGAAAATGACCAATTCGCGAACTACAGATATTGGATTTAGTCTATATCCCTGTCGTGAAATCTCTCCCAAAATTCTTGGTCTGTTGTAATTTATATTTTTTTACGTGGATTACGTGTCTCTCTGTCGCCTAATTTTTTCTACGGTGATGCATCCAAATCTTACGATGGACATTGCGCTCCACTTTAACATTTAACTAGTCTAACTTATGCTTAGTTGTCATAATAATTACTAATTAGTCAGGGCCACGAATCGGCCCGGCCCACCGGTTCCACCCGAATCGGCCTGGAACCAGCTCAGGAGATAGCCCGCCATTTTTTTTTTTTATTTTTTTTTGTGAGCCAAATCTGACCGTTAGACCATCTTGACAGTTGAGATCGAACGGTCAAGATCCGACTGACCCAGCTGACCCGTTGGGCCGACCCAGACACGACAGGTCTTGTAAATAAAAAAATAAAAAAAAAATTGAATAAAAAAGCCAAAAAAATCCTAAAAAAATTCTATAAATACCCACCCCCCTCCAAAAAAAAATATCAGTTTTTTCATATATCTCACATCATCCTCCTCTTTTCTATACTCTTTTCTAAACTCTTGAAACTTGAAGTGCTAATTTTTATTTTTGTGCTCGGGTTTCTATAAATTGGTCTATTTGTATACAAATTCGGTCCCGAACTCCATATTCTATTTATTCACTCTCATTTCGGTTTCGATTCTATAAATTCTTTACATAATATTCTCTCCTTTCTAACTCTATCATTTTTTACATCTCTTTTTTATTTTATAAAAACTATTCTAGTTATAAATGTTGGATTTTCGTGGTGGTGGTCGTGCCGGTGATCCGCCACCACAAAAACGTAAAATTATAACCGAATCTTCTTCGAGTAGACCTTAGTACGCCGAGACAAACAATATACATGAATGAGTCTTCTCAATGACGTTGAGACCGAGATAGTCCAACGCATCTTTCACTCTATTGAGAAAATCCACGAGAGCATACAATTGAAAGAGGAGAACATGGAGCAGACGAGTTCGATCCTACTCAAGGTGGAGGAACTCAACAATCTCAACGTCAACGGTCCACTCAAACGGCCGACGACGGTCCTATTTTTGTGACGATGGTGAGTACTCGTGGGGAATTATTTCCTTAATGATAAGAATCAATTTTTGTGAAACCAATCAACTCCCCATTAAATCCCCTATTGTTATAAGGAAAATACTATGTTTGCAAATAAATCTGACTAGTGCAATACCCGTGTATACACGGGTGTTGAATTAGAAAGTTTTTGTAAAAAATATTATTTTTTTTATTTTTTTAAAAATTAAAATAATTTAATTTTATATAAAACACTACTTTGGGTTTTAATTAAATTGTCAAATTATATTTTTTTAATCATAATAAGTAAACACCTGTACATTAAATAAAAATGTCAACCCGTTTTGAATTTGTTTACTTATATCATATAATAATAACGATATTATTTACTATTACATAAGCAAAAAAATATATATCTTAAGTAAATAGAAATATTATGGTGATATGTATATGCATAAGTGTAGAATATGTTTATTTAATATTATGAAAAATATTAAATGATAAATAATTTTATTTTCTAATTAATTGTAATAAATAATTTTATTATTATTATAAAGATAAATATAATTTAATTATTTTATATTTACAATATGTATATGAAAATGTCAACCCGTGTTGAATTTTTTTACTTATATCATAATAATATCGATATTATTTACTATTACATAAGTACAAAAATATATATCTTAAGTAAATAGAAATATTATGGTGATATGTATATGCATAAGTGTAGAATATGTTTATTTAATATTAAGCAAAATATTAATTGATAAATAATTTTATTTTCTAATTAATTTTAATAGATAATTTTATTATTATTATAAAGATAAATATAATTTATTTATTTTATATATACAATATGGATGTCAAATCGAAGCTCATCAAAAGATGATTAATTTGATATATTATATATGTAAAACCGATAAGAAATACAAAAGTTATCAACTTTTAAAATATATTTGCAATTCAATGGTTATAATAGGAAATGATATTAAAATACAATTAATATAAATATTAATTTATATCCAAGCCTAACTCCAAAGCATGATTTTTTTCCAAATAGGATTCCAAAGCATGAGAATTTGCCACGTAGGCTCAGCGCATTCTGAAATTATATATAGAGGGGATAGTGTTAACTATTTTGCAAATAAATATATATGAACCGTAAATGGGTAATAAGAAGGCTATTTCGTGGTGGATCAGTAATTCCTCTTTACAATATAAGCCACAATAAAGCAATTGGGCCGGGAATAAACCAAACACCTATTTTACTGACAATCTGAGCCCAACACACGTTGCTAAGTGCGCACTTCAATTCTTTTACGAATTTGTAATGTAAAATTGCATAATTTAACTATGTAGAAAGTTCATTTAAAAAAAAAAAAAACAATTTCATCATATACAATTTTATTTATACTATTGTACCAAAGAAGAAAGGTAACGGGTACCATTACCGCGTACACCACAACATATGTACATACGGAACATATATTATAACACAATAATATTGAAACAGTTATTAGGACTAATTGATCATTTGATTATCATTGAATCCTAATCAAACCAATTGATAGTCCCAAATTCCTTTCCTGCCCCTTTTGGAACATCTTCAATCACCTTCTCTTGGCCCTTAGGGTAAAAAAGTCCAGTCCGGTCATCTCGGACCCACCAAGTGGCGTCGCCAGATGATGGCCTCGTCTGCTTCACTTCTTCTCCGTTAACTTTAACGGTGTCACTTAGCATATCCGGTGACCCACTTTTTCTATGATATGCTTTTCTCAACATTGGCCTAGGAATTAAATTGGTCAGAAATATTTATCTAAAGAAAAAGAATATTCGGAAGGGTGAATCAGTAATTTACAAGATACATGCATGATTATTCCACAAGTAACAGTGTTATGTTAGCCTATATTGTTAATTATGTAATAGAGCTAATTTTAACTTGAGTTTGATATGATTAGTACTTTAGTTAAATATTAATGTGGCTAGCTTAGAATTGCATGAAGTTGGATGAAAGAATAACCTATTCAAATGTGTGTACTTTTTAATTTGGCTGAACTAAAGGTATCCTTTTTTGTTCAAATGTGTAAACCCGTACTCAGTCGATATTACGTTGCAATTATTTTTAAATAACAAAGTGTATTATTTAATCAGCGCGCAGTACTTTTTCTTTTTTTTTTTTTTATATCTAACAAAATGAAGCAATATTTCTTAATCTAATACAAAGATGCATGAGAACGTACTATGACTCCTACAGCAGAGTTTTGAGTTAATATATGAATAATTGGTATATTGATATAATCTAATTAAAATGAGTATATTATACATGCTCCTGATCTCCCAAATGGCCGGAGATCTAAATAAATGTGCTATATACAACAATTAATCATAATATAGTTTGTGATTAAATAGTTAAAAACTTACTTGAAATACATTGTATTCATGGTTTGTGCTCCTCTACCAGCTGCTGTGGATGCCATTTTTTTCTCTCTTCTCTAACTAACTCTAATCAATAATAATATGTTTATTCTTGAGAACGATTGAACAAATTTATGTAAGAGACGTTACATATTTATAGTGATCAAACAAATTATTAATTTTATTTTCCCGAGAAAATTATTTAAATAAAGTTGTGGATCATGTTTAATGGCTCATCAGGTTATGGGCTCTTCTCAATTCGCGTCATTATTTAGCTATTGTTTATTTTATTTATTATTTATTTTTTAATTTCATTTTTTGGAAGGACCATAAACATTAAACACCATATCTCAAATCAGTTAAGTTCCATGCTGATGGGAAGGGGTAGACTACGGTACAAGTTTTGTCAGAGGAAGACGACAAAATCTAGGTATGGGCTTTAATTTATGGGTCGGGAATGGCCTTCCCCAGTTGCAATTTTATATTGGGCTGTTGGGCTATCCCCAAATTTAATCAATACGCATCACATATTTTTTGCTCTTGTTGAAGACTTTTTTTTATTTTTGAGTGCATTAAAAAAAATGTATTTCTTTTGATTCAATAATTGTTCCTTATTATCCTAGTTTTCTTGCGTTATTGCATTACAAATAGTAAAAAGTATTTTCAATTATATTAGTTTTGCATCTGAAAGTTGTTCTTAGACATGTCCAATGCTTTAATATTGTTAGGGGTTGTTTACTTTGAGTGATAGCACAGGATAACTAAAATTATTCCTTAATATCTGATGTCTCCATTAAAGGATTGGGATAGGATTCAACTGATGTGGCATACATGNATCCATTTATTTACAAATGTATTCCATATAAAAATGTGTTTCACTGTTATTCTTACCCTAAATCGTGCCATTCGGAAGCAGAAGGACATTGAACCTAGCATCATCCACTCCGTCGCCAAGACTTGTAAGCTCTGATGTCACATTTTTTTTTTTGTGTGTTTCCCAGTTAACCTTCTTATCGGGTGGACCTCACCTGAAAATCTTTTCCCGCCGTTCTTCCACGCCTGAAAATCTCGGTGGACCTCGTAGTCGCAAATGAAAGAAGGGTTCGACGGAATTTTGGAAAGAGTGGATCAGACCCCGTCGTCGACGCCTGCATTGGGTTGATTAAGGTTCGGTCTCGACGGTAATTGGTAAAGAGGGGCAGATGAATTTTGCGAACTGGGAAGTGAAGACAAATTTTATGAAAATGGTAAGGAACATAAACCCCGTCTTTTTTCGAAAAAAAATAGCTAAAAAGAGAAAATCTGTCTCTGGTTGTCGAGTTAGGAATGGAGTCGGGTTCTTCATCCCAACAAGAAACAAGTGTGTAACAGCATCTCATGCCAAGGAAAAAAAAAAAAAAAGGCTTTCACCTGAGGGTAAATTGGGCATTTAAGTTTTATCCTATAAATTTGTCCATGATAGTAGACATAGGACAAATTTCAGACTTTTTAATCTCTTAATGTAAACAGTGGACTAAATGCTGACGTGTAAAGTTATCTTAATTATTTTCTCTTATCCCATCTCACAAAGTAAATGAGGCCTTATGGAATAAATTATGACAATATCAGTAAATTAAATAGATTGTGAACAATGTAAGAAAAATGTTAAGATTACAACTATGAAATTAAAAAATTCTTTTCAATGAACTAAAATATTATCTATTTACCAAATATTAAAAAATTTAGGAGTTGAGAGCCCTGGGACCCCTTGGAAGGGGGAATACAAGGAGTACTCCTAGCTAAATCCATATATTCTAATTAAAGAGAGTTATTTTAAAAGGATGTGATTTTAGGTCCGAAAGGCCGATAAGCCATGTGGCGCAGAGGTGGTGTTTTCTCTTGATACGCTGGCAGTCGTCATCACATGTGGCATGACACTAAATCTTTGCGACTAGTTTTGAAATTTTTTTCTATTTTTCATATTGTTATGCTCTTCTTTTGTTTATAAATTATTATTATTGATATAGCATATTATAATATACCAGTCCGAGTGATATCTGCTCGACCGGGATGACGATTCCAACGGCCTTTATGTCGACTAGATAAGAATAAAGTACACACCCTTAAGTCGACACCTCGACTGTCAATTCCTCTTCATGAAGTAACCAAAGGGGGAAGACGGTTCTCAAAGACGACTTCTAAATAGTCGACATCCCTAAGTCGACTTCCATAAGTCGACCTCTATCAAGGAGACAAACAAGCGTAACCTCTGAATACTCATATGATCCTAAGTCGACCTCCCAATGCTCGAGGTCGACTACTGGCACCTCGAGGCCCAAAATACACTGACGATTTAGTACACTTGCAATATCTCTTGAAGTCTCATATCCTCTAATGGATAAGAAGGAATCTTGTGATGACTAAGCAGAGAGGGGAGACGAACCGACCGGGGTATTTCGGACACTTCAAGTAGATCGACGGGGGCATCTTGGGTACTTTAAATAAGTGTTTTCCCTCTATATAAAGGGGTTGAGGTAACCTAAACTCTAACTTTCATTCATTCCTTACACATTCCTCTCCTGCTGCTTCTGCTGCTCTCCCAGAGCAACCTTCTTCACCTCTTTCACATACTGACTTGAGCGTCGGAGGCTCTACGCCGGAAACACTTCCGGCGTAGAGTTCTTGCAGGTATTATCGCGGTCTAGCAACGGTTCGAGGGCGATTCATATAGATTGGAGCTCATTACTACCGGTTCGCTTCAGATCCAGAAGTAGACCCATCAATTATATATATATATATATATATATATATATATATTAATTAATTAATTAATATAAACAAATTATTAAGTAAATCTAAGACAAGATTATGAATATATATATATATAATTATTTATTATAACTATTTATAAACAATTTTAGTTATGAATAAGGATACAATATACATTAAAATAATTTTAGAGAATATTTTGCTTTTATTTTGTGATGTGTTATTTTTAATAGGTATTCTTTTAGCTTATTTATAATATTAAATTATTATAAATGTACAAAAAATATTTTTATTTATGAGATAATTGTAATTAACATGTTTTACTATATTTTTAATTAAATAATTATAAAATTACTAAAAAATTCGATAATATATTTCAACAAATTGTACAATGCTTCAAAAGTTTTTTTTCGTAAAATTATATCTTTTAACAATATCTGGAGTTACGGATACCGATTTTCTCAACTCGTGTCATTTGTGCCGGAAAAAACATTAAGACTAAGATATTTACATGTACAGGTAAATAACAATTTAATCATTTTTTCTTTTTTGGTTTGCTCTTCCATTCGAGATGAACAAAAATAATTTTAGAAACATCATATTATATGAATTCGTTAACATAATTTTCTTAGAATTATTATTTTTAATAGGTAACTTACTTAAAAATATGAAAATTTTATTAACTTTTCAAGCATTACCAAATTTATGAATTGATTAATTATCAGATATTCACATTTGAAATATATAATAATTTTTGTGGTAATTTTTTTTATTATTTAATAAGAATATAATAAAAAATGTTAACTATAATATCAAATTATATAAAATTATAAAAGTAGTTTTATTCATGGCATAATTATAGTTAATATTTTTTATTCATGACATATTTTTTGGTAATTTTATAATTATTTAATAAAAAATATAGTAATTTTTTTTGTAAGTTTATAATCATTTAATAAAAAATATACAAAAAATAACTATAAAATTAAATTATTATCAAATTACAAAAATCATTTTATTCAACTTATCAAGTGACATGTCAGATGGAGGACCACCCAATTGGAGGGAGAGGTCATAAGCCTATATACTGTAAAATCAAATTTCGACGCAATGAAAAACACATATATAGTATAATTTATAAAATTACAAAAATAATTTTATTCATGACATAATTATAGCTATCATTTTTATTCATGACATATTTTTTTTGTAATTTTATAATTATTTAATAAAAATAGAGTAATTATTAAAAAACAAATTAACTATAAATTAAATTATTATTAAATTACAAAAATAGTTTTATTCATAAGATAATTATAGTTAACACTTTTTTACTATATTTTTCATTAAATAATAATAAAATTACAAAAAAAAAATAATTATGTCATGAATAAAAAATGTTAACTATAATTATCTGATGAATAAAAATATTTTTGTATAACTTTATAATAATTTAATATTAAAAAAGAAACTAAAAGAATACATGTTACAAATAACTAATCACAAAATAAAAGTAATTAAAAATAATTTCTAATTTTATTATAATGTATATTGTCTTATTCATAATTAATTTTTTTATAAATAGTTAATATAAATAATTATATATATTCATAATGTTGTGTTAGATTTGTGCCATGCCACGTGTGATGGTGGCTGCCAGTGTATCAAGAAAAAGTGCCACCTCTGTGCCACATGGCTTATCGGGCCTTTCAGATCCGAAATCGTATCAAAAGTCCTACTTTTGATAATTTTTTGAAAGTTGTGGGACTATTTGTGTCAATAACTATCTTGCGAATAAAAAAATGGCACCCCCTCAATTTGTGGAACTAATTTTGAATTTTTTTTCTAATTTATTACAATAACATTTGAGCATTAGAGATGCTCTTACGTCATCTTATGATGTAGAAGGTCAAATTATAATCTATCGATATATATCCATTCTATTAATATATAGAAAGGCTAAATATTTATCTTAAATAATAAGGAACTTCCACATAAAATTTCCATTTTCACTATATATTGATTCCTTTCTTAAAAAATAAAAAAATAATAAAAAAAAATTGAATTATGAGTATTATTTATTGATGATCTTTACGCTTTAAATTGTACAATTTATCATTATTATCTGCATGGCACAACAACGGGTCTATTTATCAATTTGATTGAGCTCTTGGATATGACATTCATTTGCAGAATATTCATTGCACTTCTCTAAATAAATAAAATAAAAGTAGCCTTATCCCTATTTTTACACGGCCTGTGGACTAAAAAGAACTCCAGTCATCTCCTTATCCACTGCTCTCGACCACCTCTTCGTTTGCATCCACTCCCTCATCTTTTTTAGTTTGCTTCCAACTTCCT